TTTTTTATTATTTTATCAATGTGAGATTTTGTTTATATTTAACACACATATTCCTTTAATTTTAGATTGAATGTAAATTTTGTATTAAAATTTACATGTTTAAATTTACATGATGTTAAAAACCAAGTTTTGTTTCTAGAAAGCTCAAAATTCCATGACAATTCAAGTATACACGAGGGGAGGGCATCGTATCCATTTGTTAGTTTGAAATCTATGTGACAAATTGGACCTTTACATCAATAAAAATCTAAAGCTCTCTTAAGTTTGTAACTTCAGATTCATGTGACATGATTCAAAATTAATATACATAGGATAAGACTTAACTTAGTTGAAAATTTTTACATTAATAAAATAATAAAAAAATATATAAACTAAATAAAAGTAATATTACTTCACTTATTGTCAAATAATTTTAGATTTAGTACTAATTTTATATTAAAACTCATATGTACAATTTTCCAAGAAGTGTTGAAACAAGAAATTGTTTGTGGCCAAAGCAACGGCCGGCAAAGAACCCAATAACTGTTGTTCGATGGAGCTGGGTCTTGTTTAGATCGCATAGATTTTTATCTATTCAATCTCATAATTGAAAATTTTTCTAAGATGTAGTCAAGACATTTCGATTACACAAATTCGTGTAGTTTCTGGCATTTCAAATTGTCGCATGTCATTATAGAGTTTGAGGTCTTTTTGCTTATTGTAATTGTGGCAATCATTTTTACTGTGTAATCAAATCATGAATTAAATTTTGTTTATTTTGTTGGTAGGCTCGCAATCTTTCACGTTGCTTCCATACTCATTAGTCCCTGTGTTTTGTTATTTACAGAGAATCAAATGTATAAAACTTGTCATTTTCAAATAATACCAAAGAAAAAAAAAAAAAACTTCAAACTCTTTTTAAAATTTTATTTCTTCCTAAATTACACCCTCTCTTTCTTTTTGTTCAAACCCTTTTCCTTTTTTCCTTTTTTTTTTTCCTTTTGAACAAAGGAGAATATAAGGGATGAGAGAAATACAAATAAATAAGAAAAACAAACTGAGAGGGTGGAGCACTCCTAACATCTACATAAAGTCATTAAACATCCTTCTTAAAGTCAAAATATTTTTAAAATTTCTTCAGCTCCAAAATCACAGATCTTCACCCTATTTGAATCAAAGTTCAAAAGATAGTAACTTTAATTTCATAGATCATTGTTTGGTTGGTTTATGGTAGTTATTATTTTTTATATATATATAAAACCATAAAAACAAATAAATTTCAAAAACTTCTTTAATAAAATTAAGAATAATTAAGCTTTAATTTCATAATTTTCTAGTAAACTAAGGCATAATAAGAAATATGCATTTCTTTCATTTTTTTAAAGATGATGTATTCCTTGATTCTTTGTTAATATTAAGAACAATTAAATATAAAAACTGTAGTTATTCTAAACTTTTTATAAAAGTTTTTCAATTTTAACTTATTTTTATTGTTTGACGAAAAAATATAGCCACACTACCTGCCAAAAAAAGAGCCTTCGAATTTTTGAAGGGAAGTTAATAAAAACAGAAATGAAACAGTTTCACTTGTTTATGAACATCAAAGGTTAGTCTTGAAGAGAAGATGAACACAATACAGAAAGGAATTTGAAGAGAAACAGAGTCAATTTTATTCCCATCAAAAGAACGAGCACAAAAGAGATACCCACAAGCCCAGCTTGCCAAGCAAACATAAAGAAATACTTGTTGAATGCCCTGACTAACTCAAGGCCATCTCATGCATCTGTTGCTTTCTCCCCAGTTTTCCCCTCCCTGTTGATGTGAAAGCCCTCAATCTTACGAGTGACCTCTTCAGCCACGGCCTTCACTTTACCACTTGGCCCATTTCCAGAAACTGACTCATTGTCTTCATGACTCACCGGCCCTGTCTGCCATATTCTAACAGTACCATCTTCGGATCCTGATGCGTAGGATTCCCCTCCTGGTGAGAAACGAACACAGTGGACAGGACCATGGTGACCTTTGTTGCAACCTACATCCATTGAAGTGCAAAGCATTGGTTAAAAAGCAACTTTGCTACCCATAGAAACATCGACCAAGAAATATCTATTTCATTCCACAAGCTTGAAAGAACAGCTCAGACACTTTCACTTTTGGCTCCTTTCTAGGACTAGCACAGCAAGGAAATCTTCGTATTGAATTTTTTGTCACAAACGTAAAATAAAATATGCTTCCTTTTAGCGTGATGTCTGGTTAAAACAGGAAAATCAATAGGGCACATATAGACAAATAGATAATGGCCCAGGATATATTTCAGTAGAATGAGAGCAAATCACTCTACATCCTAATACAGCACTGAGAAACCATCTTAAGGGGACACCAAATATAAGTGCTTAAATCATGAAGCAGCAACTAAAAGTTGCCTAACAAAATATGGACAAGCTAAAAAATGATGAATTGAAAACCTAAACAACAACTTAATATATAAATAAATAAATGAGGATTTTTGGGTATGGGAGAACATTGAATAGTGCACCTACCTATCTCCTCTCCAGTATGGAATTCAAACACACGGACCCACATGTCTTCGCCTCCAGCAATGAACTTATTGCCAAACTTTGGTTCCAATGAAGCTGATTCTACACTGCATGGCATGTCGTAGCTCTTCACCAATCCAAAACTACAAAACACAGGCACAAACATAAGAAGGCTTCAAAGCTAAACGACTACGATAGCAAATGCAGTCCAGTTTTAAACATACTGATTTGCATCCCAGAACTTGACAGTGGATCCATCAGCAGTAGTTATATAACGACCATCCTGACTAACTTCAGCACTGGTCACAGGTGATTTGGTCTCAAGTGTATGTACAATTTTGTTACTTCTTAAATCCCACAACCTACAGTTACAAAATAAGGATATAAAATATAATGCTGCATGATATTCATTCGCAAAAAGCTCTGTAATGCTTAAATTACCAGCTTAATGAAGATAATAACAGAATGATTATAATTTATAATGGGTACAAATTACAAGCCAAACATAAATAGACATATTACTAAAATCAATGTTCCTTTTTCCCTCTAATTTTAATAGAGTAAAGCAAGAAAGATTTAGAACACCAAACTCAAGGAATAAGGTATAAAAATAAAATTGACATATAACTAAAACTCCAATCTTCCAAAATTCCATCAAGTATATAACAGTTCATGATATAGCTCAATCAACATAAAACCAAACTCAGGGCTACCTTTCCATCTAAGTTTTATGGAGTGATGCAAAAAAGGTTTGAGAATACCAAACAAACACATGGATAAGATATAAGTAAAATTCACATATAACTAAAACTCTACTCTTCCAATTCTTTTACTTCCCAGATTCCGTTAAGAATGTAATAAAGATTACAGCTCCTGATATAGCTTAAAGGTGGAATATATTAGTACAGTCAACCACCAGGTGACTGGAAAATTGGTTTGTCAATTTGTAAGGATTCCCATATAAGAAGGATGCATGAATGGGAAGTGCCACCAAGTTTCTATGTCACAGAGAACTTGTGTCAGATTCCATGTCAACTGCAGTCTCCCAGCACTATCATGCCAATTTAAGACAACACTGATGATCAAATTCGAATATCTTGGCTAAAACAGGCCACTGACTTGAAGGCAATTAAAGCACTATGTTAGAACCACAAAAGAGGAAAGGAAGAAATAGAGTGTGCATGTGTATTTTGGGCCAAAGAGTAGTACACTGAAATAACATTCTTCATACCTAACACCACCCATATCAGTACAAGAACTCAATATGGTCTGATCACTATGGAGCCATGCAACAGTTCTAATTGAACCAGGAGAATTATCCACTTCTCTTGGAGGCGCATCTGGGCGGTTCAAGTCAAATATGCGAAGAATCTTCTCAAGGCCACCTGTTAGTAGAAGGTGTGTATCCTATAAAATGGAACAAAATATTCAGATACTAAATGCATACAAAGAGCATTGTCCTGCATGCTATTTTAATGAGAAAATGATACTTTTAGCAGTCTGGAAACAAAAAAGCATGATGGATGGAAGATAACTAAGCTCTACCTCTGAAAAGGCACATGCACGAACAATATGCTTGTGATCAAATGAATGTAATTCATCTCCAGTCAATGCATCCCATAGTTTTCTGCAAATGTTAAAATCTCAAATAATGAGAAGTCCCATTTCTCAATCATAAATTTTCATAATGTCTAGAATACCTCTGTTTTCATCTTTGCTTCCAGCAAATCTATATTTAATTTTGATATTGCCCTTCAGCGCACAAATTTATTATCTTAGAAAATTAATTTCTACAAGGATGCCCTAAAATCCAAATGAATATAACATGTCAAAAGAAATCCTTGAATGGTATCTCACTTATAAAAAGAATCATGATGAGTCTGTTAACTAAGAAAATCATGTCCAGATATCTTTAACATACCATACACAACCAACTGAAAAATATGGCTGTTTCAGAATGCATGATATATCTAGGATATTGTTTTTCAGAGATAACATAAATAAGCATTCAACAAGACCAGTGAAAATACAGCGCATTTTCTTATGTCAATCATCAAGTGATATCTCCCTTCTGGTAAGAAAAGATATTAAAATTAGTGGAAAAAGGGATTAGGTAACAGAGACATGACACACAAGCGTTTCATTTATCTGAGTTGCAACTTTCTCTTTAAGCTATGCTCCATGAAGTAGAAAAAATTTAACAGGATGAGAAAAAGATCCATACGCCGTAAAATCTGCTGAAGCAGATGCAGCACGTAGTGCATTGGTATCTAAGCAGCAACTCCATACTGCACCTTTATGGCCTTCAAACGTACCAATCCAGTCCCCAGTTTCTCCATTTCTCAACATTGGACTAGAGTCTAAATTGGAACAACATAATCAGATAACAGAGTTTCTAAACAGGTATTTGCACAAATAACCGAATAATGCTAATCAAATCTAGAATAAACCCCCATATACATAGCATATAGCTGCTGAATGTAAACTAAAGAGTTTGCAGGCTAATCAAAGCCAAAAATGATGACTACGAAACAGTTCAATCACGATCCAACTTGAAAAACAGGTCATTGGATCCAAATTCAAAATTAAAAGAAAATCCAATTCGAAATCCATCCTACTCCATCCAAATTCACGATACACACAACCGATCGTCGCCCAATTAGGAAAAACATCATACCTTTACTGGCACTGATAAGAAAGAACCCATCTGGCGTGATTGGACTGTAGAACAAATCGACCACGGGCCGAGAATGCCCATGGCACACTAGCGGTACCGCTACCTTTTTCTTGTCCATTTTCGCACAACAAACAACAAAAAATCAAAAATCAAGCAAAACCCCAAAACCCCAACACGATCCCCCTATCAAAATTTGAAATGAAGAAATCGCAGAAGAAGCAATAACACTTTTCTTTTCTTTCTATTAACAAACCAGGCTAAGTTTCAGAAACTCAAACAAAAGGGAAAAATGCGAAAGTGAAGAAAACTGAATTGAGATTTGGAATTTCTGTTCCTTCTGGAGAGGGGGAAAAGGGGAAGGAAACCCTAGTTCGTCTATGGAAAATCAAATTATTTATGTTTATTTGAAAATATTAAAAAAAATGAAAAATACGAAAGTGGGAAGAAATATATTGATATAGGCTTGAAGCAGAGCAGAGTTGTAGAAAAATGCTGACTTTATAGTGGTGATGAATTTGGGGATTTTGTGGTTTTGAAAATAAGGGCTCATGCTTTTGAATAATATAAATATCATCCTCCTTTCTTCGAAACTTCTACTAAAAAGGCCACATTTCCATTGTTGTTTTTTTGGTTAAAGCCTTATTTTAATCTATTTACTTTAATAAAAAGTATTTTTTTAATTTCTTTATTTAAAAAAGTTTATTTTTAGTCCTAAAAATTTATTACCAGGCCCTTTTCAATTCGTCCATTATCTTTTTCACACATAATGCATTGAATGATGAAACTTCCAAATTTTAAATTATTTAGAAAGCCCTTTTTTAGTTTTTATACCTTAGAAGTTTCATCATCTAACATACTATGTGTAAAAAAAATAACAAAAGAATTAAAAAGAGCTGGATAAGGATTGAAGAGGAACTTTCTTAAATAAAAAGACTAAAAAAGACTTAAATTAAAAAGACTAAAAGATGGCCTTTTATTAAAGGAATTAAAATGGAATTTTAACCTTATTTTTTAACATTAAGGTGTCTTTAGATCAATTTAAGACAAATCTCTTGCCAGTCCAATTAAAGGCATAAAAAATTATCTCTTTATTACCATATTTAAAAAATTAAATTTTAATTAGGATAATAATATAAGGATAAATTTTTTATGTAATTTTTTATATAACTTTTACATACACTCAATATCACAAATTCTAAATAAATAAAAAAAAATCAATCATTTAAAAAATACCTAAAATTATACTAAAAATAATA